TTCATTCTTCCACTGTTTTTTCAGAGACACGGTGGCCACAGGCAAGTCACTCAGGCTCAGTGCCTCAATTCCTTTTAGATACCTAACCCACACAGCAAACCAATGTATCCTTGTCACATGCTATCCATCTCTAAGGTGAATAGCATTCGTTACAATTTTGTGAGAAGTTACTTGAATTATGCTCTTAAATACTTTAAAACAAAATATTAATGTTCTGCTAAGGCAATTAATATCCTAAATGTGAATTAGTAGCTAATTCAACTTCAGTTTAAGATATCAGTAAACCAGTGATTTAAAAGTTTGATTCTTCAGACAGACCCGCACAGCTCCCGAAACATACTATTTTCATAATTACTTAAATGCAAAAACTGTCAATATTAGGTCTCTACAAAAAGGAGGATGTTTTCTGCCAAGAGAGATGCATTTAAGAGAAAGACCTAAATTTGTTTTAATATACCCTCAACGCACATGCACCACCTGCTCAGTGAGTATCATTTCCCGAGAAGAAACAAGTCAATTCTGTGTATTATCTGACGTCTTCAAAGCTGCCTGGGAGAGTAAAACTGCTCATTCCGGTGACAGCTGTGGGCCACAATCCCCTATAGCAAGCTTTGAAAAAATCTCAGCTTTACAGATCAATTGGCAGTAAAATTCACATTCTCTGTAAAGTCTCCTGGATATTCTTAAATTTGTAATGTGCCTGTAATGCAGTATATCCGAGACAGATAATGCCGAAGCACTACAGAACTCAAAAGGGAAAAAAGTTCTTTATTAAGAAGACAACTGTCCTCCCTGTTGACATATGAGCATTTATTTTCCAGTTTAGTTCTTTACTATTCACTAAAGACACTACCAAAACCTGGCTACGTCCAGCAGTAGCTTTGCCATGCGCATCGCACCCATGTGTCCTTTCCTGTCAAGCACTCTGTTTTATGATACGCTGTATATAAAGGTTCGACTTGCAGGTAAAGATGGAGTTAACTAAATGAAGAAAACGTACAGCAAAAGTCTCGGAAAAGGACAACTACTAGGCGCACCACAGAGCACATCTCTTGATCTGCGAATAGCTGGTGCTGCCCTACTGATGGCCCTTGATTTGAGGTTAAGAGACACAGCCTGGATAGCACTGGGAATTTTGTAAAGCAGCAAAGCTGGGCTCACGATGCTGGTGAGGAAGATTGCTTTATTTTATTTTGTTGTTCAGGCAAACACCCCAGGCAGGTGGGGGGATTCCGTGCCATTCTGTGTGACAGGAAGATGGTTCGTGCAGCGGTCACTAGGACAAGAGCTGTCTCTAAGAGACAGGCCATTAAGCTGTGACCTATGCTACGACTATTGTATTGCACTAATTTTCACACAATTCGTTGCTATGAATATTGTGTTCCACTAATTTTCATGTAATTCACCAGCCAGGAGGTCCAAGGAAGTAACAGATTCAGCATCCGTCCCAAGTCTCCAACCATCTACATACTACTGGAAAACAAACTAGCTGACGCTCTACTAAGAATCACAAAACTAAATTAAACTTTTAAAAAGTGAACAAACAAACAAACAAAAAAAAAAAACACAAAATGAAAAGCTTTGAAAGATTCAACACACTCTCCCCATGGACACACAGTGTCACTTGCACTCTCAGAGGAGCCCTTTCAGCTACTTCAGAAAAAGCCCAGGCTAAGGAAAAGGTGACATACTCTGTGCTAGTTAATACACTGCTCTACATTAACTTGCTAAGAAAGGGAACATAGAATTAAAAATTGGCTATGAAAGAAACTAGACTTTAGTACTTCTTAGTAAGTACAGGGGTATATATTCAGCTTAGTGAGGTATCTTGAAAATATTTTTTCTTTTTAACTTTGTCCTGTTAAGAAAAATTATTCTTTTTAACAGATGCTGTAAAGTAGAACCAATTGATTTTATAATGGGGATCAAGAACTGACTTTTCACTTCCTATTCCCAGATTATATTTAAGATCCTGAGTAACTTCTTCTCCAAACCATAAAAATATTGGATGGTATAGCAGGAACCCACCATTACCCCATACAGTGAACTGCAACCTCCCCAGAAAAATCTACAGAAATAAAATTCTTCCACGTTACCAGGTACTGAAACTGCCCGCTGCTTCCCCTTATAATATCTCATGCGTCCTGAATTTGAATTCTCCAATTAAAAGCACACAAAACAACTATTTTCTGTAGTACCCTCTTCTCAATCACTTCTCCCTTTCAAGAAGCCAAGCAATTTAGGGAAGGGAACTGTCACATTCAAATACAGAAGATCCAAATCCAGGGCAAGCAGAGTAACTGCTAAATATTTAGAGACACTTGAACTGGGAGGTGGAGGAAGAACAGCGACGGTAGCATTGATCTGATGGCTTCCTGCCCGTGTTTCAAGACACAATCGCAATTATTTGCTACTAAAACCTTGCCTCATTCAGAATACAAAATACATCTGCTCTGAGGACTCCGGAAAGGGGGTTGTAGTCTACAGATCCCTTCATCCTGCTTATTAAGTAGGTAACCTGCTACAGGAAATGAGTTAAGCTAGTTTACATGTTGGAAGGATCCCCTGGAGAAATGGCTTCTATTCATCTCCGCTACATAGTTCTTGTGATGCTGGTTACTGTCTTCTCCTGTCCTGGTTTCCCTGTTAAAGAACCCAAAACTTGATCTGCAGAAGTACTGCTACCCAAGCCAAGCAGCCACTGTCATCTGAAGTGGTGAAATGTTAGAGTATTCTAAGTACTGTTGTATTGGGTTTGCATGGCAAGGTTTTGGTAGGGGCAGGGGGGGTTACAGGGGTGGCCTCTGTGAGAAGCTGCCAGAAGCTTCCCCCATGTCCGATGGAGTCAGTGCCAGCAAGCTCCAAGCAGACCCACCGATGGCCAACGCCGAGCCCATCAGTGACAGTGGTAGCGCCTCTGGGATAACGTAGTTAAGACAGGGTGGAAAAAAAACCGCAAACAAACCCAAACTGCGCAATTGCAGCCAGTAAGAGGAGTGAGAGGATGTGAGAAGAGCAGCCCTGCAGGCCCCCAGGCCGGTGCTGCAGGAGGGGCAGGAGGTGCTCCAGGTGCCGGTGCAGAGATTCCCCCGCAGCCCCGGGTGCAGCCCGCGGTGGGGCAGGCTGTGCCCCTGCAGCTCAGGGAGGCCCATGGGGGAGCAGATCCCCACCTGCAGCCTGGGGAGGACCCCACACCGGAGCAGGGGGGTGCCCGAAGGAGGCTGTGACCCCATGGGAAGCCCGCACTGGAGGAGGCTCCTGGCAGGACCTGTGGTCCTGGGGGGGGAGG